AAAGAAACTGCCTGGTCCGTGTAATATATATAAAACCTCATTACCACTCACCAGATTCGTCTTCACGTTAAAATCACAGTTGATGCCCTAAACAGAGTAGCCCGACAACCGTCCTCTGCAACTTCCAATTTTTCTCCCAAAAATCCAAACATTCAAATTTCAAGTTGTTATTAAATGGAAGAAGAAGATGTAAATTTAATTTTTGTGATTTCTTTGTAGATTTCAGGTTTTGTCCTCAAAGTATGCATAGAAATATATATCTAGATTGGTGTTTTTGAAAGATTTTTACTTGAATTTTAGTGCTCTACTTGTTTGTATTTGTATTATGTTGTATACTTTAATTTTACATGAATCATGCTATACCTGAATTTTTACTAGATTTTTACCTGAGTTTCAATCGAAAAATATATCAAAATTAAAGTTCTCAAGTTCTAATTGCCTGCACCAATCCCCTCCACCAATGTGTGGGACAATTACTGGAGAGATGATAAATTTCTAATCCACTCTGGTGATTTGGGACGGGTCATGTCAAAGAGGGATAAAGCACAAAGAACAAATTACCTTCTTTCATGAACATCCATGAATCTGATAGCAACAACTATAGAAGGAAACATCAAGAGATATGTGAATGCACGGGACTTTCTTGTCATGGGATAATCTTGTGCAATTTTCTCAATTATAGAACTGGTCTATTTTCTTTCCTGTCAATATGACAAATTTAACAAATTGATGAATGAATCAGGCTAGTACAAAATACACTAATGATTATTATCACATTTTCATATTTTAGCTTTAATGATTAAATATAGTATCCAACATTCTTAATTTAGCTTCATCACAACTTTTCGACAAAAAAAATGTGCTAGTGTCATATAAAATTATGAATAGCAAATAAGCTATAAGTTTCTAAGTTAAGGGGTTTAGCTATTCTAAATTTCTGTTAGAATGGCCTAGCGGGAACAAATTGGACTAGCAAATTTGTTGGAGATAAACAAATCGGCATTAGTCAAATGGCCATGGCATCAAACAGAAAACCAAACAAAGAAGTGTTAGTGAGAAGTGGGAAAGAAGAATAAAAGCCTTTGAAAGTAGTAAAACATTGCAGAGATCTACTTTAAACTTATAGACTCTGTAGTGTATGTTGCCCAATATACTTATTGAAATAGGACGTGGAATGAAAAGAGAAATAGGGAAAAAGAAGAGATGAGAGAATGTGATGCGAACATCATCCTCATCAGGCCATTTGTTGGGCCATTTTATCTTCTATTTATTTATTTTAGGTTTTATGTCTTATTGGGCTTGTATATGGGTTTGGCCCAAGCCCAAGTTTATTATTTTGTTATTTATTTGATTGTAATTTGGATTGAAAGTTAGTTTGATGAATGAAATACATTTTGGTTGTTGCTTGATCACGTCTCTTCCCTCTCCTCTCCTCTGTTTTCCCACTATCTGATTTTTCCCTCTTCTGCTATTTTCTTCTTCTTCTTCTTCTTCTTCTTCTTCTTCTTCTTCTCATCTGCTGCTTATTATCTTTTCTAACGTTAACCACTTCAATTGGTTCTACATCAACTCTTGGTATCAGAGCCAAACCTGGGTCAACAATCAAACTAAACAACGTCCCAACATCTACTCTGGTTTGCAACCTGTTATTCTACTACTACAAACAAGCCGCTAGTTTCACTCAAGCCACAAACAGTGTCCAGTCAATTGTAACAAGACAAACACCGCTGTCCAACAATCACCCCACTGTACTACTCAAAACTACCATCCATTATCTCCCAGCGATATCTTCATCAAATTCCCAAAACTGTTACTACGTAGCCTATGATACCTAAAATTTACCTCCAGCAATTTGTAATTCATTGCAACCTGAAATCTTAGTTGCTTACCCAGCCATCTTCTTCTCAAAATCAACCGTCCAAAAAAAAAAAGGAGAGAGATATATAAAGAAACTACCACAAACAATAACCACCTCATGCATGATCTAATACGCCACAAGACACTCTCCACCCAACAACTCGCTACAACCACTGCTACCACTATCACCCACTACCAATCATCACCAGAAACTACCACCAACAACTATCAACGCCACAACCCTTTACCCAAATTGTAAATCCAACTCCACTTCACTATTTATCATCGCCATCGATCAAAGCTGGACCATAATCGCAATCATCTGCAAGCCCCATACACTTAACCTATCACATTCAAAGCACCATTCGTCTATTCACAAACCTTCGCGCAATCACTATAGACCCCCATAAATTCCAGCTGACGCTGCCTCTCATCCAAGAACCACCTTGCGCCGACGACCCATTGTCGGTAACTATTAGAGAAATCAGTTTGCTTGTTAGGCTCTTCCATTCATCTGGCCGATTGCCTTTGGAAGTCTTGATTTTGAGTTCTCCACTTTGACCTTGCATCTTCGGCCTCTAGTCTACTGGAAGGGAGTGGAAATATACACATCAACCTCAATACAGCTATATACCAGTTCAACAAAAGGCCTAATACCCATTATCTAAAATTCATCGAGCCCACAACCTAAAAATTTACGTGGCCCTGTTAAATTTGGTCTTATTTATCACAATTCTTTTTTGTAATTTTAAGAGGGTTTTATTTGTTTGTTTGTTATATAAAAAAATTGAGCTATTTTTCTAACATCATTTTTTCGGTATCTATTTGTACCGTTGATTGGCTCTGTTACTCCAACGAACAAAGGAAAGTTACTGTTTTTATTTATTCTCAGTTTATATTACTATTTATCTTGAATTGCATCGTTTAACTTTTGTGCTGCAGTTTTTACATAAAATTCACGTGATTAAATCCCTAGACTTCCTAACTCTCTTTACTTGTCATACTTTCACCTTTACCCCCATTTATTTTACGTGCTTATGTCGTTGACTAGTGTTTGACCTCTTAATTTATTATTTTACATAGATTAGCAGTATCAGTTTGACATATTTGAATTTCCATAATTTCCAAAAACAAAAAAAAAATAGTAAAAAAAAAAAATAATTAAAAAAACTAAAATTTAAATACTCAAGTTGTTATCTTCATTTCTTGAACTAGTTGTTTATTGATCTCTTCATTCATTGCATTTAGCAAGTGTTACATTGCATGCATTTGTATAGTGGTTGTCTTATCATACCCAGTTCCAATACTTTGACCATGGACCTTTCTCAATTTGATGCCCTTACTCGACAATTAGCTCAAGTACAAGCTCAATTAGCAACTGTCCAAACTGAGGTGACTGCTACTCATGAAGAGAGTAGAGAACTAGCTGCTAGGGTGAACAATTTAGAACAAACCTCTCCCTTAAACGATGCTGATAACTCTGAAGCATCTCATAACATACCTTATCATCATCGACATGGTGGTCAACAGCATGTTCGTCATGGACTAAAGAATAGAAAACAGGAGCACAATCATGAATGAGGCAATGACCATTATGGTACTCATTCACCCCTCGCTATGAGGAGCGTTACTTTCGAAACATCAAGTTAGATGCTCCTACTTTCGATGGTTGTTTAGATCCTAGAGTTTTTACACAATGGATTAGAGACATGGATCGTTTCTTTTCATGGTATGGAGTCCCAAAGGATCGATGAGTTCAATTTGCCAATTTGAAATTAATTGGTACTGCCCAACTTTTTTGGAAAATCGTTGAGGACCTTCTTAAGAGGCGTCATGCACCTCCTGCTGGAAGTTGGGAGAAAATGAAGCGCCGCCTTCAAGAGAAGTATTTACCACACTCTTATAGGAGCAACTTGTTGGACCAATGAAATGCTCTCACACAAGGAAACCATCCAGTGACTGACTATGTTACTCAATTTGATGAGTTTCGAATGCGATGTCACATCATCAAGGATGAAGCCATAACTTTAAGTAGGTTCAGATAGGGCCTAAGAGATGATCTTTGGTGTGAGCTTGTCTTTCGAGGTGTCACCACTCTCGATCATGCTTATTCCTTAGTCTAAGATTACAAGTCGATTACTAAGATTCCTATGGAAGGCGTAGTGATAATCGTCCTTCCATCTCATCGGTACTACCTCCTCCCACCAAATCTCTCCTAAGACCTCCACCATCTAACACACCTCCTACTTTAGACAATAAAGGTAAAGCTCCTAAAACTTCAAGAACTTCTCGCTTGTAATGCTTCGATTGTAAGGGCTTCAGCCATATCTCCTCCAGATGTCTGAGCCAAGCCTTAGTTATTGACGAGTGGAAGGATGCCGTAGATGAACCTTTAGAAGATCAAGTCTATAAGCCTAACTTTGAAAATTTTGACGATCTGTGTTGTACGTTGTATCCTTACCCAACTTAAGGGCGTCGATGATTGGCGTCATCATGCCATTTTTTATAGTGGGAGTTGCATTGACGCTGTCTCTGTGACCATAGTGTCCCGTCTTGGGTTGAAGTCAATCCCGTACCCCCAACCGTATAGTGTTTCTTGGGTTGACACTTCTTCTATAGCTGTGAAAGAGCGTTGTCTGGTGTCTATCCATTTCCTTGAGAATAAGGATTATATATGGTGTGACGTCATCCCTATGGATGTCGGACATGTCATTCTTGGTCTCCCTTGGTTGTTCGATCTCCATGGGTGATCAAATTCATGTTCCTTTTTATTTAATGGAAAGAAGATTCACCTTAACCCTTTACCACCAAAATTTGTTGACTCATACCAAACCAAAAAAATTGTCGAAAGGAAAGGATTACATGTGATTAGCCCTACAAAATTTGAGCGAACAATTGTAAATGACTCAATCGTATTTGCTGTGATTGTTATGGAAGTCTTGTCCAATTTCCCAATAGTGACCCCTACTGAAGCCTAATCACCCCTTCAGGAATTTAAAGATGTATTTCCTGACAATCTTCCTAATCTATTGCCTCCCTTACAGGATATTCAACATGCTATAGATCTTGTTCCAGGTTCGTCTCCCCCAAATTTGCCTCACTATAGAATGAATCCTACTGAACATGTCGAGCTCTAGAGACAAATGGGTGAACTCCTTCACAAAGGCTTCATTCGTGAAAGTTTAAGCCCTTGTGCAGTTCTAGCCCTTCTAATACCTAAGAAAGATAGTTATTGGAGGATGTGCATTGATAGTCACGCTATCAATAAGATCACTGTCAAGTATCGTTTTTCCATCCCTTGACTTGATGATATGCTAGATATGATGCCGATGCCACAATCTTTTCCAAAATCGATTTGAAGAGTGAGTATCATCAGATTCGAATCCGCCCAAGAGACGAGTGGAAAACTACATTTAAAACAAAAAATGGTCTATACGAGTGGTTGGTAATGCTTTTTGGACTATGCAATGCTCCAAGTGTTTTTATGAGGGTGATGACATAGGCCGTTCGGCCTTTCATGGGCAAATTCATTATGGTATTCTTTGATGACATTCTCTATACAGCAAAACAAGGGAACAACATCAAGATCATCTCATGCAAGTTTGCTCTACACTGCGTGCTACAAGCTTGTATGCCAATGTGAAGAAATGTTCTTTCTTCACGGATAGAGTTGTGTTTCTCAGATTCATTGTTTTCGCTATGGGAGTATGCTGATCCTATGAAGATTTGGGCAATTGTTGATTGGCTTGACCCCAAGAATATACATGAAGTTAGGAGTTTTCATGATTTAGCTACCTTTTATCGTCGTTTCATCAAGGGGCTTAGTACGATCATGGCTTCTATCACAGAGTGTATAAAGAGAGGATAATTTTAATAGATGCAGGAAGTGGCTAAGGCCTTTCAGTTAATCAAAAAGTAAATGACAAAGGCTCATGTCATGTGACTCCCAAATTTTTCCAAAGTTTTTGAGGTCGAATGTGATGTGTCCGGGGTAGGAATAGGTGGAGTCTTGAGTCAAGAAAGCCATCCTATTGCTTATTTTAATGAGAAATTAAATGATGCCAAGCAACGGTACTCAACTTATAATAAGGAGTTGTACATAGTTGTACAAGTCTTGCGCTATTGGCATCATTACTTATTACCCTATGAAGTTGTCCTCTTTTTGGACCATGAGGCTCTTCGTTTCCTTAATTCCCAGAGACAATTGAATTCTAGGCATGGCCACTGGATCGAATATTTGTAGGCCTATTCTTTTGTCTTAAAGTATAAAAAGGGTATTGAAAATCGAGCTGCTGACGTTTTAAGCTGTCGCATCTCCTTTTTATCCATCATGAGTGTTAAGGTCATAGGGTTTGAAAGACTTAAGGAAGAGTACGAGTCATGTCCTGATTTCAGAGACATTTTTCCTGCTTTGCAAAATAGGAGTTGGACACCACTGATGGTTTTCGTTTAGAGGAGGGCTATCTTTTTAGATCCAACAAGTTGTGCATCCCGAAGACTTCAGTACGAGACTTTATAGTGTGGGAAAGTCATGCTGGCGGGTTGGCCGGACATTTTGGGCGTAATAAGACCATAGAGGAGATTGAACGTCAATTCTATTAGCCCAGTTTAAAGATAGACATGGGCAAGATTGTTGGCACATGTAACACCTGTCAGCGTTCTAAGCAAAAGAGGCAGAATACAGGCCTCTACACGTCTCTCCCCATCCTTAGTTATCCTTGGCAAGACGTTAGTATGGATTTCGTGCTAGGGTTGCCACGTACTCCAAAGAATCACGACTTCATTTTCGTTGTCGTAGATCGCTTCTCGAAAATGGCACACTTATTCCCCGTACCAAAACTTCTGATACATCTAAGGTTGCTAAGTCATACTTTCATAAGATCGTCAAGCTGTATGGCCTTCCTAAGACCATTGTCTCGGATAGGAATGTTCGTTTCACTAGCCATTTTTGGCGAACCCTATGGAGTAAGGTTGGCACTAAACTGAAATTCTCTACTGCATGCCACCCACAAACGGACAGTCAAACTGAAGTTGTTAACCTCAGTCTTGGTAATCTATTAAGGTGTCCAGTCCAGAAAAATCTTAGGAATTGGGACCTAAATTTTCCTACTGCCCAACTTGCATATAACAGTTCAGTGAATCGGTCTATAGGTATGAGCCTTTTTGAAGTTGTTCATGATTTTGAGCCTAGGAAGCTGTTAGACCTTCTTCCCTGTCTCCACATGCTAGTGTGTCTATGTCAGCTGAGTCTTTTGCATAATATCTGCGTGGCCTGCATACTGAGATCAATAAACAGCTGGAAGCAAGTAATACATTATTAATCTTCGAGCTGATTTGCACAAATGCCACGTTGAATTTAATGTTGGAGATTATGTTATGATTCGAATTAGGTCGGAACGGCGTCCATTTGGGCCTGCTTCCAAATTACAAGCTTGTGGTACTAGTCCTTTTAAAATTTTAAAGCATGATGGTCCAAATGCGTATGTCATTAACTTACCCTCACATTTTGGCTACCACTCTACATTTAATGTTGAGGACTTAGTTGCTTACAAAGGCCAATTTCACCCCGCTGATGATCCTTTCACACCTCCATCTGTGGACCCTCATTCTGAACATGTTATCTCTTCCCCAATTCTACCTGCTGCAGTACATAAAGATAAAATTGATGCTATTTTAGATGCACATATCATATAACCAAGGATGGAGACATTTAGCGCTTCCTTGTTCGTTGGGAGGGTCGTCCTGATTCTGATTGTTCTTGGATCTCCAACAAGAAACTTCAGCAGCTTGATCCTGATTTGTTAGAGCATTATAAAAGTCAACAAGATCTTCCCTTACCCGGACCACCACCCTTACGTGTCTACAGACGTCGAAAGAAGTTTCCTTAACCGCTAAGTTTGTGGCTGGGAGATTGATAGCAGCTTTTTGTAATTTACCAACTCGACGGGCTCGAGTTTTTTCCCCCACCCCGAGATAGTTGATGCAGACATCATCCTCATCAGGCCATTTGCTGGGCCATTTTATCTTCTATTTATTTATTTTAGGCTTTATGTCTCATTGGACTTGTTTATGGGTTTGGCCCAAGCCCAAGTTTATATTTTGTTATTTATTTGATTGTAATTTGGATTGAAAGTTAGTTTGATGAATGAAATACATTTTGGTTGTTGCTTGATCACGTCTCTTCCCTCTCCTCTCCCGTTTCTCCCCTGTTTTCCCACCATCTGGTTTTTCCCTCTTCTGCTATTCTCTTCTTCTTCTTCTCATCTACTACTGATCATCTTTTCTACCGTTAACCACTTCAATAGGTTCTACATCAGAATGAAGAATAAGAATTTAGAGGAAAGAAGATATCAATATTCAATCGTCAATAATAGTGATAAAATACAATAGTACGTTCCTTTTATGTGCATTTATACATGGCCATAGAGTAGAAAGGTGAGATGGAGATGTTTAAATATTCGGTTGAATTATTTGGTTTTGAAAATTCTTGCTACTTTCAATTGTTTGTGGCTCTACTAATGATATATAATTCAACATGATATTGTGTCTTTGTATAGTTCATTGGTGATGATAATACACCACATTTTTCTCTACCAAAAAGTAATGCTAGAGGAAAAATGGATATAGCAAGGGGTCATTGTAAAGAGATTATTGAAGCTGGTACTAATGGGAAAAAAATTTGTTTGCTTGTATTGTGGAAAGACTTTTGCTGGAGATGGTATTAATCAAGTCAAACAACACTTAGCGAGAATAAAAGGTGATGTTGATTCTTATCGTAGAGTACCTCCCAATGTTAGATTTAAAATGAAAGAAAATTTGGACAACTTTGCTACAAAGAAGCATAGAGTTTAAGAAGTTCTTGATGAGTGTAACCCACGTAGCTCTTATTATCGGGAATAAGAAGAGCAAATGTATAGAGATTTGGGTAATGATGATGTTCAAGAGATCATCCCTCCTAGTTTTAAAGGAAAGGGTATAGCTATTCAGACAAGTCAAAGAAAAGGAACGGGAGCTAAACATTTAAAACAACAAAAAGGAATTGATTCCTACTTCATACTAAGAACGGGACCTAGTGACCAACCTACTATCAAAAGTGTTCTTCAGAGCAAAGAAGCTATAGAGAAATGTGATCTCACTATATAAAAATGGATGATTGATTCATGTATTCCTTTCAATGCTCTAAATTCTGTGTATTGCCATAGCGAGCATGTGCCCTAGCTATAAAGGCCCAAACTTTCACAATCTTTGTGGTTATTTGTTGGCTAAAAATGTCGAGGAAGTACATAATTATGTAGAAAGCTATCGTTTAACATGGAAGATGACCGGTTGAACAATTATGGCAGATGGTTGGACAGATCAATGTAAAAGAACTCTTATTAATTTTTTAGTTTATTGTCCAAAAGGAATAGTATTCTTAAAATCCGTAGGTGCTTTGAATGAATCAAAAAGTGCTGACATGTTATATAAGTTATTTCGAGAGGTTGTGATATTTGTAGGTTCGGAATATGTGGTCCATATTGTGACAAACAATGCTAGAAATTATGTTGCCGCTGGTAGGTTATTGGAGTGAGAGTTTCAAACATTATTTTGGTCTCCATGTGCAGCCTATTGCATTAATTTAATGTTTCATGATATTGGTAAGCTTGATGAAGTAAGTAATGTCGTATCTAAAGCATCACAAATCACCAAATACATATATAACCATTGGTACCCATTGCATTTGATGAGAAAGTTTACTGGAAGAAAGGAAATACTTCGACCTGCTTCCACTTGTTTTGCCACTAACTTTATTGCTTTACAAACATATTGGCCCAAAAGAATCCATTAAGAGAAATGGTGACATCTAGAGAATGGACTTTATCAGCATATGCAAAGGAAAGTAAAGGAAAAAAGATTTGTTGATATACTTGATTCTATGTTTTGGAAAGAGTGTGCTACTATTGTGCAATTTACTGAGCCCTTAGTTCGTGTTCTACGAATTATTGATAGCGATGAAAAGCCTTTGATAGGCTACTTGTATGAAGCCATTCATGTGGCAAAAAGTGAGATGGAATGTAGATTTCAAAGAAGGAAGAATAGAATAGCTCCTTATTTGCAAATTATTCAGAATTGATAGGATAGTCAATTGCGTAAAAATCTTTATGCCGCTGGGTATTGATTAAACCCGTCTTTCCAATACAATAATCCTGACATGGAAAATCATAAACAAACTATTTCTGGACTTTTAGATGTAATCGAAAGATATGCTTATGGTCAACATGATTTAAGAAGCAAATTGACTAGTAAAATGAGACTATTTAGGCAAGCACATGGTGACCTTAGACGTTTATCTGTTGTAGCTGATCGTCATAAAATGACTCCTGGTAAATTTTATTCTCATGTTAAGTACTTTATTATGTTATATAATTCAGATTTTAGTTTATACTTTATAACATATGCCTATTTCATTTTATCTTTGTTTTGGTACAGATGAATGGTGGATGTGTTATGGTAAAAGTGCACCAAATCTACAAGCACTTGCAATTCGAGTATTAAGTCAAACATGTAGTTCTTCAGGTTGCGAGAGAAATTGGAATATGGTTGAACATATTCATTCTAAAAAGAGAAATAGACTCGAGCACTAAAGACTTAATGATCTTGTTTATGTTCACTACAATTTACGATTGCAACAACGGTAATGTTATTTAAATTAATTTTTCATTCTTTTGTTTTTTTTTTTAATTTTAAGATTTTGCTTTCTGTTACTAAAATTCTATTTTGATTACTTGTGAATTGGATAATATACTTTCTTTAGGAACTATTTCAAAAGTTGAAATTATGATCCTATTGACTTTGAAAGGTTTGGCATTTATGGCAATTGGGTGTTAGAGGAGAAGCCACCGAATTTGGTCGATGATGAGTTGGAGACATTTCGTCGTGATTTGGGTGCATGCTCTATACAAAATGATAAACATGATGGTAATTGTTTGACTGATGCCTATTGTTTCGTCTTCTTCTTTTTCTTCTTCTTATTTTTTATAGTACGTATGCTATAACGTTCAAGTTTAAAACTATTTTCAAATGAATTACATTTTGATGATCTTGATCTGGATTGTGATGGAAATGATGGCAACGGAAATGATAATCGAAGTTATTCAAACGATGAAAACGAGGATTTTAGTATGACAGAGACTCCAAATGAGAAGAAATTGAAGAATTTATGTCCGAAACCCAGCATGGATGCGCTCAAACACTTCTTAATTGAGAACTTATTGACTTATTTCAAATAATTTACTTTGTTAACATGTTTTATATCCACGTTTAACTTTTCATTGATGATTTTACTTTTGCAAGAATATTATTAAAGTAGATGAAGCTATCTTGTTGAACTTTGACATATAAAGTTTATCTTTATATGATTGATTGTTATTTTTTATGGATTCAAATCCATATTTTAATATATATGATCTAGGATTTGTGAAATTAGGATACAAATTGATATTTAGTTAACAAAACAATATTAGGTTAGTTTAGTTATTAGTTGAAAATGGAAAAAAATTTATTATTCAACGAAAATAGTTAATAATATTTTAAATAGGAATTGGTTTGGCGGTTGAACCATTGACCCGTTGACCCATTGCATTGTCCGGGTCAACATTCGGGTCGGGTATCAGTGGCGGAGCCAGCACCCGGCGAGGGGGCGCGGCCGCGCGTGCTGGCTCCGCCGGAGTTTACAGTGGCCGCCAAATGAAATTTACAGTAGCCGCCGATGGAGAAGTGGAGGAAGATGAAACAACACATAGGTAAGTTTTGGGCCTTTTTTGTTTAAGTTTTGGGGCTTTTTATGTTTAAATCTTGGGCCTTTTATTTTTTTAATTAAAATCAGGCCCAAATCTCAATTATGAATTCCATTCCCCACCATTACTTGACATTCCAATTGAAAAAAATCAATTACATTTGCAAGCAGAAGAAAACTACAACGCCGCTGACCGTCCCAGTTCCGTCTGACTGCTGCTACCATTGGAAAAACATGACGCTGCCTGCCTGCCTCTCCAACTCTCCATCTCTGTTTTTAGCACGACAAATTGGAAGAAAAGAAGGTGTTTCTCTTTTCCTGAGTTTTATAATACTAGTTAAATACATTGAAATTAACATGCTTGATTGATAATGTTTTTGTGCTTGAAACACAGGAAAGCAAAATCCTTAAATTCCTTAATTTTATGCGGAATTCAATTTCTGACTTTCTTATATCTTCATTGACTGTGGTCTGGAAAGGTAAGTCCAGTCGCCTTTTTTCCCCTTTTGGTATGTATTAACTTATTTATTATGATTGTAAGAGAATAATGTGTAGAACTCAGAAGAAAGGTATTAAGTGACTAAGTGAGACTGGACTGTGGTCTGTCTTGAGAGAAGAGATGGAAGAATTAGAATTAAGAAGGGGAAAGAGAGAATGCATTTAAATAAGATGGGAAAAGAGATAAAAAGGCAAATATTAGAATCAATTTTAATCGAAACACGAGATAATAAAGTAAATATTAATAAACGACATCGTTATTACGATCATTAATTGTTGACAGTCAACGTCCGCCCTAGCTGAACTTTGATTCTAGATTCGCCACTGTCGGGTATGATAACTATGGTTTGTACTGTGGAAATAAATCAGAGATTTGGTGGGTTATCAAGCAAAGAAGTCTGCCTACTGCTTTTAAGCTTTATACATGTACTGCCTATTGCTGCTGAAAATTTATAAATATAGCAATTAAAACACCAATTGTCCTCTCCAATCCAATATAATATATTATAGTTGAAAGCTTGTGTCTTTTAATGATGAAATTTTTTAATATTATATTTTAGTTTGTAATCTTATGTTCAAGATTAAATTTAAAACATGGACTGACGAACAACCCCATTGTTTGTAGGAGTTCTTTTATTGGCGCTCATATATAAAAAACTACTTACTGATAACCGAAAATATTAAATTAATTGAAATGATTTTTTGTCTTCACTAGGCAGGATAAAAACGAGAGAACCATAAACGAGGTTTTCTTGTCACATCAGTAATGAGAATTTTTATCCTATTCACTAGGGACAAGAGATCGAGACTCCATAATCATGAGATTAGACAAATGATAATCAAATTCTTCGCAAATAATTTCAAGATATATATATATATATA